AAAATGAATAGCTTCGTATATATGCTGCTACAACAATGAATAGGATCGTTTGATGTCTGTATTCTGTAAATGTTTTTGTTTGTTGTGTAGGCCGTGCATGTAGTTGGATGTGTAGTCGGTTCAAGTGTTACTGTTGTCCTTTTACGTGAACAATACAACAGTTGGCTTGGGTTGGAAAAGTAGAATGATATTTCTCTTTTTCCGACTGGGAATGGTTATTATCAGTCTAAAAAAAATGTTATGGCTATGTAATGTTGTAATTTTGTTTATAAAAATATTGATTTTATTTGATTAATTTAATTATTAAGAATAGTTAATAATTATAATTAATAATTAATAATTAATAAAATAATTAATATTTATTATTTAATAAATTAAATATTAATTTACAAATTAACATTTTTTAACATCATAATCAAGTATTTTTAAAAAAATTTGTAATTTGCATACCCACAACAATATTTTGTGTGGCAATAATTACACCCTTTCCAATTGCACTGTGTGAAATTTTTTTTTTGGGAATCTTCCTTCTGTTTGGCCATGTCCAGCATTGAATTCGTTAGCAATTTTGAGTGTCCATATCTGTGTCATGTCTCTCCTTTCTTCCCCACACATTTGACATTTCCCTTCAAGATATAATAGCTATAGTCCATTGGTCATTATGATGGAATGATTCAATTTCTTTAGTTTATTGGGAGTACTCTGCATCTCATGTCCTTTGTGGAATTGAAATTCATTCATTATTGCTTTATTATTGCTGTTTCTGTAGTGGGATGGTGACTGAAGACAATTTTTGAAACATGTTCTACAGTTTTTCATTTTTGGGTTTTAATTTTTTGCAAGTTTTAGGACATGTGAATGTCGAGTGGACTAAATGCCCTGGATGAACCCAAGCTTTTCGCTTTTGCAGTGATAGACATGTGAATATTAATGTGGTGGAAGTACTTATGCACAGGATTAGATAAAGAGGGGGAAAGTTAGGCTATGAGGGTCTCAAAAACAGTGGGGATTTAATACAGCTTGATTATTAATTTCCCTCCCGGGCCCTGCCACAGGGGAAGCAACGATCGAGGGAACATATATGATTCAACTACTCCTTTCGTTCTGGTTAAGTACTGGGATCAAAAAATTAATTTGTGCTTCTTTTCTAGACTAGGCCGAGTCCCATTCAGAATTACTCCTCGTTTTAACTTTTTGTATGTGAGTCTAAATATTAATTCTATATAGAAAAATTATTGGTACACTTTCTAGTATGGTATACCTTTTAAAATTTGCTTAGTTTATGATTAAAATATAAAATAAATATAATTGATTCAATCAGTTTTTATATTTCGTATGTATGATTATATTTTTAAATTTATTTGCTTTTAAATTTATATTAAAAAATAATAATTTTTTAATAATTATATTATGTAATATCTTGAACTGAGTGATATACTAATTATTAAGGTTGT